CACGCTCACACTCGCACACACACACACACACACAAAACACACACACACAGTGATGAAGATCTGTCACAAGCATTCAGACTAGAAATTATTTTCATGTCAGAGCTCATTTAGTCTCTCTTCTGCAAAAGAAGTGCACTTAATTGTATGTGCACTTGTAGTGTTCTTCAAATCTTTAAAAAAGATGATGTAATATTAATGAAATAAATTACCACTTAAGTGACTGACACACTTAAGCAGACTTTTTAAAAGTGCACTTTGTAATAGATATCAAGAAGTACGTTTAAATTTTAAAGAAATTGTATTTAATTTTATTTTAAATAATTGTTCTAATAATCTTCGTCGTGTTTGAATGTTGACTAACACACTAAAGCACATGCAAACTACTTGATTATAATCTTAACCGTAGTGTGTTATTTGAAATTACATTTAAATGTTATATATTTTAAATGTACTAAACTGCATTAGTGTAAACAAATAAATGTAACTACTAAAACTAGAAGAAGTAATAATGAAATTACATATAAAGATGCAGTGAAAACATTACATTCAGTTCACACTTATGTATATTATTTTGGGCTTTTTAAAATTATGCTAAAGTGTGCTGCTTTTTCACAAGGAGTGCTACACTGACAGAGCATTTCATTCGTCAGACAGTACACAAGATTTACACAACTCATTCAGATCAGATACTCACACACACACATACTCTGAGCCATCTAAACATACTAAACTATCACGGGTGCCTGCAGTATTCTTATTAATGGAACAGAAAAATGTAATCATACAGTCAAACCAAAAATTAGTAACTTGGCAAGTACAACTTATTCTAACCCTAACCCGACCAGTCTGAAACATTACCTGAAGTCAACAGAATGTGTTAAAGGGACCATCACAATAAAGTGAAACCCCAGTCTCTAATCAAGGCAGATCCAGTGGAGGGTGTTTAATAGTACAGCACGCTCATCTGCTGTTCTCGGTGTGAGTGCTGTACGCTGTGAAGCAGTGGGATCTCCAGCACAGCCTCGCTCTGCTCACTGCGGCTGATTTATGGGAACTGTCAGGTGTCACTGCTGGTTTGTGTAGAGCTGCCGAAGGGAAGGAGCAACTCACTGAAATCTACACACTCGCACATGAAAAATACATGCAGAGGCTTTTATATTTCAGTTAACCCACTCCTGTGTAGCTTCCTTTTCCCTTTGTGTATGTGTCAATGTAGTTTGCTTTTGTCCTGAGAGTTAATTTGGGATCAGATTGTACTTTGAGTCATTGAGAGCGTGCAACAGAAATAAATCAGACGTCACGTGAAGCTGGCATCATGATAACACGAAGGCTCCGTTGTTTTTGGGTTCCACAGCAGACACACCCATCGAGGAGTTCATCCCGACTCCTGCGTTCCCCGCGCTGCAGTACCTGGAGTCTGTGGATGAGGGCGGCGACGCCTGGCAGATGGGGCTCCGCACGGGGGACTTTCTCATCGAGGTGAGAGCCCTGCTTAGTGTACACTACGGTGCCCGGGAGGGGACATGTTCGGCTCACTTTTGTCGTGGGAACGTGATATTAATTTGGGCAACGTCATATTAACTCGTGGGAACGTGATATAACGTGGCCACGAGATATTAATTTGGGGAACGTCATATTAACTCGTGGGAACGTGATATAACGTGGCCACGAGATATTAATTTGGGGAACGTCATATTAACTCGTGGGAACGTGATATAACGTGGCCACGAGATATTAATTTGGGGAACGTCATATTAACTCGTGGGAACGTGATATAACGTGGCCACGAGATATTAATTTGGGGAACGTCATATTAACTCGTGGGAACGTGATATAACGTGGCCACGAGATATTAATTTGGGGAACGTCATATTAACTCGTGGGAACGTGATATAACGTGGCCACGAGATATTAATTTGGGGAACGTCATATTAACTCGTGGGAACGTGATATAACGTGGCCACGAGATATTAATTTGGGGAACGTCATATTAACTCGTGGGAACGTGATATAACGTGGCCACGAGATATTAATTTGGGGAACGTCATATTAACTCGTGGGAACGTGATATAACGTGGCCACGAGATATTAATTTGGGGAACGTCATATTAACTCGTGGGAACGTGATATAACGTGGCCACGAGATATTAATTTGGGGAACGTCATATTAACTCGTGGGAACGTGATATAACGTGGCCACGAGATATTAATTTGGGGAACGTCATATTAACTCGTGGGAACGTGATATAACGTGGCCACGAGATATTAATTTGGGGAACGTCATATTAACTCGTGGGAACGTGATATAACGTGGCCACGAGATATTAATTTGGGGAACGTCATATTAACTCGTGGGAACGTGATATAACGTGGCCACGAGATATTAATTTGGGGAACGTCATATTAACTCGTGGGAACGTGATATAACGTGGCCACGAGATATTAATTTGGGGAACGTCATATTAACTCGTGGGAACGTGATATAACGTGGCCACGAGATATTAATTTGGGGAACGTCATATTAACTCGTGGGAACGTGATATAACGTGGCCACGAGATATTAATTTGGGGAACGTCATATTAACTCGTGGGAACGTGATATAACGTGGCCACGAGATATTAATTTGGGGAACGTCATATTAACTCGTGGGAACGTGATATAACGTGGCCACGAGATATTAATTTGGGGAACGTCATATTAACTCGTGGGAACGTGATATAACGTGGCCACGAGATATTAATTTGGGGAACGTCATATTAACTCGTGGGAACGTGATATAACGTGGCCACGAGATATTAATTTGGGGAACGTCATATTAACTCGTGGGAACGTGATATAACGTGGCCACGAGATATTAATTTGGGGAACGTCATATTAACTCGTGGGAACGTGATATAACGTGGCCACGAGATATTAATTTGGGGAACGTCATATTAACTCGTGGGAACGTGATATAACGTGGCCACGAGATATTAATTTGGGGAACGTCATATTAACTCGTGGGAACGTGATATAACGTGGCCACGAGATATTAATTTGGGGAACGTCATATTAACTCGTGGGAACGTGATATAACGTGGCCACGAGATATTAATTTGGGGAACGTCATATTAACTCGTGGGAACGTGATATAACGTGGCCACGAGATATTAATTTGGGGAACGTCATATTAACTCGTGGGAACGTGATATAACGTGGCCACGAGATATTAATTTGGGGAACGTCATATTAACTCGTGGGAACGTGATATAACGTGGCCACGAGATATTAATTTGGGGAACGTCATATTAACTCGTGGGAACGTGATATAACGTGGCCACGAGATATTAATTTGGGGAACGTCATATTAACTCGTGGGAACGTGATATAACGTGGCCACGAGATATTAATTTGGGGAACGTCATATTAACTCGTGGGAACGTGATATAACGTGGCCACGAGATATTAATTTGGGGAATGTCATATTACCTCGTGGGAACGTGATATATCGTGGCCACGAGATATTAATTTGGGGAACGTCATATTAACTCATCGAGATATTACATCGTGGCCACGAGATATTAATTTGGGGAACGTCATATTAACTCGTGGGAACGTGATATTATATCGTGGCCACGAGATATTAATTTGGGGAACGTCATATTAACTCGTGGGAACGTGATATTATATCGTGGCCACGAGATATTAATTTGGGGAACGTCATATTAACTCGTGGGAACGTGATATTATATCGTGGCCACGAGATATTAATTTGGGGAACGTCATATTAACTCGTGGGAACGTGATATTATATCGTGGCCACGAGATATTAATTTGGGGAACGTCATATTAACTCGTGGGAACGTGATATTATATCGTGGCCACGAGATATTAATTTGGGGAACGTCATATTAACTCGTGGGAACGTGATATTATATCGTGGCCACGAGATATTAATTTGGGGAACGTCATATTAACTCGTGGGAACGTGATATTATATCGTGGCCACGAGATATTAATTCGGGGAACGTCATATTAAGTTAAATGCGTAAACAAACCTGCGTGACCATAGTAACCCGGGATTATATCAGAGATGGATTTATACATTTTTTTGTTTTGAATTTGGAAATTATTATATTAATTAATATAGAAATTATTACATTATTATATTATTAACCATAGGCGGCAGGCCTAGGCTACCGGACTGTATGCGCGCGATGTATATGGCATTCGAATGAAGTAATAATAATAATGAAGTGATGTGGTAAAAGTAATAATGAAAATAAAATAGGCTCACAAGAAAACATTTTTATCCATCCCCCAGTCTTGTAAGTCCATTAACTGATCGTCTTTTCCCGTAATATTTGTGTATTATTAATATACTTATTATTAGCCTATTGGTTATATTTTTATATTTGTTTTTTTCCTTCATTTCTATCTCTTTACTTAACGTTCTGAATAGTTTTGTGAATAACAGCCTACTGTAAATGCTCGACATGCCAATAAAGTTTTGATTATGCTGACTGGAATTTTAAGGTTTAAAGGTTGAATTTAACATATATTTAATTTTATTTCGGCTAATTAATAGACTAATTATAAATACTATAGTGTTTCATTGAGGAATGAATCATTCACGTAGTTTCACTTGTAAATTAAAACACAACACGCTCATTTATCGTCACACACGGGCATAAATACAATCATAAAGTCAAAACGTTATTGTCAAAATTGTTAGGCGTTTACAGTATTTGCAAAACATATGGTGGCAAATACTAGTATAATCATACAGAATGTTAATTAGGTAAAGCAATACACAATAAATATAAAAATATAGCCCTAACCAGTTAATATAATAATAATAAAACTGAACAAGTCCCCTCCCGGTCACCGCAGTACATGAAGCTGTTATCTTTCTCATGCTTCTCTGTAGGGATGGAAATCAAAAGAAATGTGCAGATTCTGGTTCCTGTTCCATTTATTCTGGTTTGTTAACAGTTCAGTTAATCATTCTTTTGGTAATTTGGAGAAGGAAAGAGTTGACAATATTTTAAAAATAAATATAATCGTAATTGCATCTGAAGCATTAAACGCAGAGTACCAAAAGGAATCACTCTGTAAATATAAATATTGGGTAGCACTTTAGTTTAGGGGCCAGTTCTCACTATTGACTAGTTGTTTATTAGCATGCATATGACTAGCATATTGGCTCTTTATTACCACTTATAAAGCACATATGATATTAATGCCTTTTTTGCATGATCATATTTTAGATAATTTAATCCTACTGCATGTTACAACTACCTTACTAACTATTAATAAGCAGCAAAATAGGAGTATGTTGAGGCAAAAGTAATAGTTATTAGTAAGAACTGGTCCCCAAACTAAAGTGAGACCAAATATTGAGAATAAGACCTGAGAACCAGCTCACTAAGGGAGTTTAAATGACTTTTTAGTTTTTTTGGGGGGTTTGGTTGTTTTTCAGTGTTCACTGCCATAACTCATGCAACACAACTCATTTGAGCAGATTCTGTATTTTTAGAGATCTCAAACCATAACTGGAACAAAGTGACACTTCTGTGACTCCATAACGTGTTAAATCTCCAGCTCTAAACTAAATCAGTTCAATCTGAGACCCCCGAAGGCTGTTCAATGTGAGAAATTATATTTTCACAATTTATATTAAGCTTTCAATTTAATATGAATAAAACAAACTTTAGAACTAAAATATACAGTAAAGCGGTTAAAACAACTTGGGTTTGTTTGTTTTGTCACATGAATGATATTTGCTCTTCTCATCACCTCTATTTACATCTTCACTGTCGTATGCTCTTTATTATCCTGATAAAGAAGACATCCAAATGAGAACGTCTTGAAATTTAGGGTGTATTCAGGCAAATTTGGCATCTTGTTTAAATCAAATTATTTCGACTTTTAAAGATATTCTTGTATCTCAACTTCGCCATATGTAATGGCCATAGGGTTGAAACTGTAACACAAATGTAGGTCGACCAGCACTGCATTTAGAAATCAGGTCAAATATCCATATGTTCTCATGGCCTACATGTAATATACATACACGAGTTAAACCTCAGTAGCTTTGGTTTCGAATGATTGTAATTCAATGTCCTCTTCATCCAGAACCCTGCTGGTTCTTAAGTGTCCTGATGCCATGTTACTGACCGTTTCAGTGCAGTGATTCAAAGAGAGAGCGATCAAACTGAATCACAAATGGTTTCAGACCGTTTTGCAAAATGGTTTGGCCAATTCACTGAAAAGAACAGACTCGGAAGAATGATTAATTTGTGTGTGATTTTAAATACGGATGCCATAATTGCTGAAATATTATAATAAAAGCACCGTGATTTCTGTTACAGGTCAACCATCAGAATGTGGTGAAGATGGGACACCGGCAGGTCGTTAACATGATTAAACATGGAGGAAACCGTCTCGTCCTTAAAGTGGTGACGGTGAGCAGGAATCCCGAACAAGACGGCAAAACCTGTAAAAAAGGTACTAAACACTTACTGCATGTGTAGTCAGGACAAATGATGGATGGAAACGGCCTGCTTTGAGATTCTTATCAGGCTTAGAAATAATAGAATTTAAGTTACAGTTTATTTTAATGTTATTTACGGATTTTTTTGTCGTAGCTCCTCCTCCACCCAAGAGACCCCCGACAACTGCACTCTCAATGCGATCCAAGTCCATGACATCTGAACTAGAAGAATTAGGTGAGTTAAATCTGATAAATCACTGCTATTTCACAATAAGTTCTCTCTTGAGTAGTGTTTGTTAAGTCAAGCATTAATATTACTATTGCTTTGATTAGGGTTAGTGATCAGTCCCTAAAGGCTGCTTTCTACTTCTGCATTGGCCCGTTTTCAGCCAAAGAGTTTAATTCCCGAAATCCAGTCCTTTTGGTTTTTTGAATGCCTGGGAAAACAAACTTTAAAACAAGTTTAAACCATCAAGATGTAAGCTAAAATCATATTTCTTATTTAAATACAGTTTAATAAAGGTTTATTTTAGTGAAATGTGAAAAAAAGTATTTGTTTTCTTGTAGTTACCATTTTTCTTTATTTTCTTTGTCATAATATTAGATTGGATTCAGTTGTGTTGCTGTCCATGGCTCTGAAAATGATCATTATTTATTGTTTACTACAATGCAAGCACTAAGGATGTTCCGTACTTTTTTCCTTTACGCTGTATCCCTGTGATCAATTGCCCCAAACTTGTTGTAGGAAAAGGATGCCTGTGTTAAAGATGGAATGCAATTTTTTCTCCTGTCCCTTGGACATTTCTGCCTTTTGCAGATAAATTTGAAGAGACAGTGACGCCACAGAAGCTTGTGCATGAAAAAGGATCATTGGACAAAGTTGCCACGATCAAGCCCCGCCCCTCAAGTCGCTTTTTGGCCACATCCATGGATTTTAATGTAAGTTGCTTTTGTCTTGTAGTTTAACATTAAACATAAACACCACTTTTATATTATAATCATGATGCATAATTATTCATAAAACAAGTCTTATGTACACTGAGCTCTTATCAACAAATCTGTTTTACAGCCGTCCACGTCAGAAAGGCCAGGAGTTGCTGTAGTTCCCCCTAGTATTCCTGCAAGATCCCATGGAAGTTATGTTCGTGTGCCAAAAAGCTGTATGAGAAGACAAAAGTCCATTGGTAAATATTTCCTTGCTACTTTAGATGCTCAACTGAAGATGTAAAGATGTGACTGTAAAAAAAAAACTAAGCAAAAGCTAAGCAGCTTATTGAGGTGATAGTCTAAACATGCTGCATGTTTCTTTCCCAAGGAATTGCAGGAGAAGAAAAGAAGCTCCTCATACCTCCACTGCTCAAGTTCACCAGAAGTCTCTCTATGCCTGACACATCTGAGGATATTCCCCCACCTCCAGGCGTTTCTCCTCCATCCCCACCTCACAACCTCAGTACTCCTATGGCACAAGTATATGAGCCCAACCAGCCCATTTACACACAGAACTCAACAGGCAGATGCCACACTATAGACAGAGATCTAGTCGGGTACCATCGCCAGAACTTTGAACAATATGTCTGTCAAACTCCTTCAGCTGTCCAGCAAAACATGTGTTCCCATAACAGGGCCCATGTGCCAGAGAACCCATATTCAGACATAGTTGGCAAAACTTTGTATATCCCACCAAAACCAGCTCGTAGGAAGGGTATATTGGTAAAGCAGCTAAATGTTGAGGATAGCCCTGAGAAAACCTGTTCAATCCCAATACCAACCATTATTGTCAAAGAGCCTTCGACTAGCAGTAGTGGCAAAAGCAGCCGGGGAAGTAGCATGGAAATTGAGACTAGTGCCTCCGAGCAGCCAGGCCAACTACGGCCAGACGGCAGTCACATCGTGAGCAACCCTTTTGCAGCTGCTATTGCAGGGGCAGTACGTGACCGTGAGAAGCGGCTTGAAGCATGCAAGAACTCCCCAGCCTTCCTGTCGATGGATCTCGGAGACGAGGATCCATTTATCCCAACCCCTCGTTTACACCAGTCTATGTCCATAGATGAAGGCATGTTTGCCAGCGATAAGAGTTTACAAAAGCTTATGGCTCCACCAGCTGCTTTATTAGAGGGCCAGCAAATTGGAAGTGGAGGCAACATGGCTGACTTTACCATCCCAGAACCAACAACTGAGCCCCTCACAACACGCACCAGGAGCTTCCCCAATACAGACGGTCCCATCAGTCTCAATGATGGAGATTTACAAAACCAGACATCAGGAAAGACTCGTGATATTTGTCCACCCTTGGCTCTGGGTCTAGCTGCAAGTAATAGAGCTCTGAAGGAGCACGTGCAACCCCCACTTCCTCCACCTAAAGGAGAACCTCACAAAGCAAACCTCAACCAGCCACTCTTCATAGACACCAAGCTACGGTCCAATATCGAAGCCAACTTTGTTGCCACAGTTGCAGTGGGTCAAGCAAAAGATTGTGGAGGCTTGTTTAGACACACAAGAGACTCCAATCACGAAACAGAAAAGGCAAAGGAAAGTAATCCATCCGAGCAGTCGATAAACACCAATAACACATCGCAACAGAAGTCAGCGAGGCTCCTCATGGTCCACACACAAGATAAGGCCAAGCCACAAGTAAACAGTCAGCCTGATAGATTAGAACAAGAAGAGTCCCCTGGAATGGACAGTGCACCCATTGATTCCAACATCAAACGTACAGCCCACAACTCCCAGCCACCTCATATGAGGAACGTCTTCACCTCTGCCACCTCTGTGGAGGAGCCTGTCAAGTTTCCCTGTACCATTCCTCCTCCCCCAATGACCTCAGTGGATATTGATGAGGAGTTTGAACCCTTGCCTCCACCTCTGGAGTTTGCCAACAGCATTGATGTTCCTGAGGACCAGGTAGTAGAGATTCTCAAGCAGAAAAATAATAATGCAACAATAGGACCTGTTTATCATTCACATGCTTCTACAACTGATGGTGTGGAGTCCAAGTGTCTTTCGGGGCTTGTAAACTGCATGACTCCTCACACCTACCCTCCACCACCTCCAGAAATGTTTGAGCCCATCACGGACTCAGGCATTGAGGAAGCTGACAGTCGGAACAGTGGGGACCCTCACTTTGAGGCCAATAGTACAATTTCCACAGTGTCCAGTATCTCTACTCTTTCATCAGAGGGAATTGACGACACATGTATAGCCTATGCAGACGGCCAGACTCTTTCGATGGACAGACCACCTGTTCCACCAAAGCCAAAAATTAAGCCCATAATCAATAAAAGCAATGCACTTTACAGTGACCCTTTGATACACGAGAGCATAGAGTCCTTCGGACAGCCACCACCGGCCCCTCCGCCACCCCTGGGTTGTGGAGCACAATCTGAGCTTCGCAAAAAGCTTGCTCAGCGAGGCAGTAAACTGTGGGACCCCCATGAGTTTCCGAACCCCCTCAATGCAGATCCTAAAGCCAATGTGATCAATGAGCTTAGCTCCAAACTTCACCAGAGGAACAAGGACAGATTTCCAATACAGGGAGGGTCACCACCTGCAGGATCCAGGAGCATTGGATCAAGGTGAGCAGCACAATAATAGCCTAGTCTGTCCCCTGTGCAACATTCCTGAACAAAATAAGCAAATGAGATCAGAAAAATGTGGTCACAATTAGGACAGTGTCTCGTCTCTAACTATATACAAGCTGTCTAAAGAAACAGATCACGGGTGGACTAGAACAAGAATGTGTAGATTGGACACTCCTGGGGTAGATCAAGGACAACAAATGAAATAAGATTAAACCTCAGCCAAATGTTCCAGCAATGAGGTAATATTTTATTGCAGGGGTAGCAAACCTTCAGCACACACCTGCCTGTAATTTTAAAGAACCCTGAACTGTCTCTCCAGGAGCAGGACTGGACAAACCTGCTTTATCGAAATTAAGATACGCCAAGATAAATTGGTGAGAATGTTTGTTAAAAGTCATGACCTCTAAGAATATATGAATTGGTGAATTTACAATCCTGAGAAAATCCCAGCATGCAGTTCTTCTGTCATTTTATCTCCTAATCTCTCTTTGTTTGTCCAGAAACTGAAAAAATATCTTTTGGTTGCAAACTTTCCATATGTTTATCTCATGAATTTGAGAGAGACTAACAAGAAAAAAAAAGAGGCAAAGTTGTTTCAGAAGATCTGGGAGCACATTCTGAGACCGGAATTCCTGCTTAAACAAATGTCCTTGTATTTGTAATTATATAAAGGTGTCTCAACACTGAACTTAATTGAGTGATCTGTTCATTCGCTTTGACTTGCATTAGTGCAGTGGTGTCCTTTGAGCCACATGCATTGACATAGCGAGTCTTGTTGTTGGATGACGCCAGAGAGCTTTCCTCTATTCCTTAATGAGTCCCTCAACCTGTTCTGCAACTGACTTCTCTTTCTGTATGTGTGTGTGTGTTCTCAGAGATTGGACGGCCCAAGCCTCAGGTACCAAATGCAGCAACACTGTTCCCTCAACAACCCTGAGCCACTTGCCCCTTCAGGCTTCCAGTCCAGCCTCGCCTCCTCCTGAATCTGGTCGTTGCTCTTCTCTGCCAGGCTCTGCCGCCTCCCCCACATTAACAGATGTGTTTAGCCTGCCATCTCCACCCATTGTGAATGCAGAGCAATGCTATAGCCTCAGCTCAGTCAGCAGTCGATCGCCGTCCCCTCTCACGGTGTTTCAGGCTTCAGACAAGCCCTTTGCCGACAAACCCATCCTACTCTGGACCAAGCACGATGTAGCCGACTGGCTTGAAAGCCTCAACTTGCAGGAACACAAGAAGGCCTTCTTGGACAATGAAATTGAGGGCACCCACCTTCCCAACCTCCAAAAGGAAGACCTTGTAGACTTGGGTGTCACCCGTGTTGGTCATCGGATGAACATTGAAAAGGGTCTCAAACTTCTAATGGACAGATAAAGGGTGCATACACTCGGTACAGTGCTTGGCATGGATATTGGCTTGATCAATCCCTCGTTTTCTCGAACTTCTTTCAGTCTAGATGTCTTGCATCTGTTGGAAATCGTGGGGCGATGTTCCCTGTATTGTTGTCAGAGGCACAGTAAGTACCATGGATGCAGAACTGCACTCAGGAACACTTCTAAGAGGACTCGTTCTTGCCATCAAAAGCTTTGTTTAAATGTCTGGAGCTTGTCTCTAACCAGCAGAGCTTGGAGGTCCTTTCTTTTTTACCTTTGATACAGCTATTTCTGAGAAAATTTCATTCCAGATGTTGTCTGCAAACGTTCTGTATTTGGCAGAGAACATGGATACCCAGAAAAGCACTGTTGTTTGGTCTTTATAAAATGAGGTTAGCTGAAAACATTAAATTCACTCAGGCTTTGACAGGAACATGTATTCACACCCTTAATATTCCAGATAAGTGCAAGGGATGGTGGCGCTAGTGAAGCTGCTCTTCATCCTTGATTTCCATGAGACTGAACGAGGATGGGGTCACGTACAGCTTTGTCTGATCCTGTCGGCGAAAATTAAATACACGTATGCTTTCCCTAACATTTCCCTAAACAAAAATAATATTTCTTGTGTTCTTGCTGCAGATATGCCAAGATATAGAGAATTAAAAAACATAAGGCTTGAGGAAGAACGTTCTTAATGAGAGCTTGTGGCGTAGCTCATAAATCAGGTGTAATTATTATTGTGCTTATCAGCTGCCATGGATCACATACATCTATAATAGCCTCGCATTAAGGTAGCGACAGAGCTTTTTTATATTGTGTCTTGGCTGTGGATCGTGATGTTGATTGTATGACGGTGGATCTTAATATGAGGTTGCTGAGAACTATAAGAAAGTGGTGGAGCTCAAACGGACTGAGGCCTGATACTTCAGCTGAAGAGCCAGGTGTGACTTTTTGAAAAAAAAAAAAAAATTACAAGGTCAAAACTATTTTGAAAAATGAAATGTATGCATAGATGAATAGCTCACAATAAGATCAATAACACATTTAAAAGAGAAGCTTGGAATTAAATGGAAATTCACCCTATTTTAATGCGAGTTGCAGTTTTGGAGAGATTCCAAGTTGGATTTCTTTCTTTGTCGGGCAGTAAACAAGAGGCTGTATTAATCAGTTTTTGTCATTATAAAACTTGGAACCATGTTTCTTAGCCAACATACACTATATAAATGGAGTAAATGATTACTTTTAAATTTTGATTTCTGTATGTGCCGCTCACTGCAGTACTGATAGTGGTAATGTCTCTGAAACATATATAGTTGCTATCACCTGCTGCTGAGATTCTGAGTATGAGTGAATATAGAACAATGTTTTTAAAATGCGGGCCAGAAATCAAAAATCGCAAGCCTTTCCTGAACAAAGGTTTGCCAATACACTGCTGCTACTGTGAAAATAGATATTTTACAAAATAGATCATCTTTGGATAGCATACAATAGAAGAGAGTATTTTCGATTTATATGATCATATTGCCTTTTCTAAATGCAATTTTAATGGTATTGCTCCCACTTAAGTGTGGTTTGCCAAAAAAGAGAAATGTTTGACTAAAATGGGTGTATTTGTTAGATTCTTAATATAGCAAATCCAAAAAAGCAATATATTTATACTATGGATAATACAGTCTGTATGTATTTAGATAATGCACCCCATCATTAAAGAAGCACAATGTTCACCTGATAAAACACTGCTGGTTTATCTATAGAACTGTCAATCCCTTATTGTTTAGCTATGATTTTTTCCCCTTTGACTTCAACCTATTTTGCTTTACTTTGCTAACTACATGTAAAGACTTGTGTTCACATTGTTAATGTTGCTGTAAGATCTTCTTAAATGCAATTAGTAACTCATTGCGGTGACCAAGAAAACAGTAGGATTTGCGAGTTTGAGCGCAGTTACACCTTGTATGGCAAACGAATCTGAAAGAAATAAATATTGCTGGAGTTGAGCTCTGTTCCTGTGCATCAATGCGTCTCACAAACACATGCACTTGATGAAAGCTACTGTAAGAAAAACAGTTTCAAACACGGAGAGTATGGCTACATAATGGACTGTGAAAAATACTAACAATACTAGTTTTATTTTTTTATTCTTAAATGATATTTCTTATAAAACATCCTTGTAAAGAGAGCCAGTATAGATGAGCACAGACAATTTGTTCGAAAAAGATACTTAACTAAAATTGCAAAACACAGATTATGTCATTAGTTGCTGCTAAGCCATTAAACAGTATTTGCTCCTGTGTGGATTGTCATTTAACAGCAGATCATTTGATATAATTCAGCGTCACAGACAAATGTCATGCACTCACAGAAAGATCGACATCAATCTGCCAGCACATCGAGAGCGAGTCCAGATGAATCAGAACACAGAGAAGCACAGAGACGATGCAAATCAGACAGACATGCAGCTCACGCCACATAACGCATTAACATCTGATTTTAATACACAACCCTTCAAATACCACCAAAGTGATTTTTATGAATGATTTCAAACACTGCGATGGAATGTCTGTTCATCCTGTACTCAGACGTGATGCAGAATTCTAGCAGTGACGGATTATGGCATTATATTTTGGCCTTCATTGATTATGATCATTCATATTTTCAAACTTAACGCAGTTAATCCCTATTCCAACACTGCAAAAAGACACTGAAATGAACAAAGTGTTCGTACGGACGCAGCTTTAAGAAGCCGCCTGTATTCATGACAAATGACATTATTTCTCTAAAACATGCCAGAATATCTCAGATCTCTGGTCTCTTATTTCACATACTGATGTATATATGTGTGTGTGTGTGAGTGAATAAACTCTCAGATGTGTCATAAAATCTCTTGGATCCAGTAAAGCGCACACACCTGCTGACGTGAAACAGGAAGTGAGAGTTGAGCTGAAGGAAGCAGAATGACCGGCGAACGCTCGACATGCTACAGTGAAAGAAGAGAAAGCAGGGCTGATAATGGACTGGAAGCATGGCTCTCCTTCAGCGACGTCCGCCGTGTAAAGAGCGCATGGAGCGAGTCTACTGTCGGACTTCAACGTAGTTGGCTGGGAAGAGTCCGTATGTGCCCCGACACACGCCCCTCCACCAGCCCTCGTCGATCATCTCGATGTTGGTGATGACGTCATCCGGATCGAAGGAGATCTCGTCGTCTCCCGCTGGAGAGAAACAGAGGCACGCTACATGACTCTCTTCTTGTAGGAAACACGTTTGATGCAATGAAACAAACAAAACTACATGTGAAAGTGGGAAATTTGGAAGTAGAAAGAGCAATACTATGGAAGCCCGTTTCAGCCACTGAATTAAAAAAACAAAAACAAAGTCCTTTTATTTTATATCTCGCAATTCTGACTTTTTTTTCTCACAACTGTGAGTTTATATCTCATAATTCGACTTCTCAGAGCTGTTAAATATATTCATGCAATTGCCTTTTATTTTTTATTCAGTGGTGGAAGCGGGCTTCCCTACAATACAGTATTATTGTTTTATATACTCAAAAAATGTATATATATATATTTGTTTTTCCTTCTTTTTTTATAGTGTACACTATAGAAGCTTGAATAATAAAAAAAAAGTAAATGACTTTATCACAATTCTGACTTTTTTTAAAATTTGTATCTTTTTTAGTTTGTACAATTTAAACTTTTTTTTCTTAGAATTTTCTTGGAAGTTATAAACTTCACAATTCTGACTTTTTTTTTACACCACAGAGTAAAAAATTTAACTATCTTGCAATTCTGTCAATATTTTGCCAATTATTAGTTTTTCTCTCAGAACTGCAAGAAAAGAAGTCAAAAAGGTAATTGTGACTTTTGATCTCACAATTCTATGTTTTAATCCCTTGGCAAACACTACAAGCTTCAATTGTAAAAAAAAAAAAAAAACTTCAAACAAAACCTTTTTTTAAAAGCAGATTCAGACATATCTACATATAATCTAGCCATAATATACCCGTTTATGTTTTTTTTTTTATTATTATTATTTTGGTATAACAGGAATGATCTATTTTTGGTGTCATGCCACTCACATACAGCATAAACACTGCAAAATGTTTAAGGCCACAGTTTGTAAAGTCAAACTCCTCAGATTGTTCACTCACCAGCCTGATAGTCGTACAGAGCCACGGCAGTCACGCCGAGATCCTCTCCAAACTCGTACGACTGAGCCCCCCAAACACACACACACACACACACACACACACACACACACACACACACACACACACACACGTCACCGAAGCACTGAGAGCACACACCTGCCCAAACAGGAGCTTGCGCTTAAAGCTGCACCAGGTAACGCTTGCTGCTCCAGCAGCTGAAGCATTGAACAGGTGAACACTTTGGAAGGAACGTGGTTTTGGTGATTATGTGAATCTATTCTGCACTAATCTGATAACTTGAGGCGTACCGATGTACCCATGATTACAGGTGATCATCTTGTTATTGCAAATGTCTCTTAACGACATCAAACAGCCAGAAAACATATAAACAATTAACTCAAGAAATAATAATGGTTTTGAATTGTTATTAAAGTAAGGCAACACTATTCATTTTAGATACAGTAGAACGGTGGAGACTATTATAGCTGCCTTTAATTACGGATCCGATATGCATAAACACACAGATGAAGACAGAGGTGAACTCTTTATAGGCTTACTGGAGTCAGTCAGGCTTGGACAAACACAGATTGTAAGATGGATTTAGCGCACCTGAGGTCTGGTTCTGCTCGTCCGGCTCAGGGTTCTGGTACAGGTCTTCCTGGACCGGTTCTTCATATGTGGGTTCTGCGGAGACCGGCTCCACCTCGTACACGTTTGCACCGTTCTCCACCTGACCAACACAACACAGACCATCCTCATCCTCATCCTCACACGACAGCATCAGAAGCACATCAGACATGATTCACTCACACATTCTGTGCCATTCATGCGTCGCGTACTCAAACACAGCACAAAGACCTCGCGTGGGGTCATGATACATCATGACAAGCTAAAGTTTGTTAAAGGACGCATTAGTGCAGGAGTGTTCAAAATGTATTAATAATCATTTTACAAGAGGCGAGATGCTACTATATGGCCACATTTCATGGCCTTTACAAACCGTGTGCTTACGTGACTAGCAGACAATTATTGTTAACTAAAACCATAAAATAAAATAAAAAATCAGTACTTGAAATAAAATAAACATTAACTGAAACTATATACTTATTTCAGCAAGTTACCACGTTTAAAAAGTAAAAAAAAAAAAAAAAAAAACCTAATAAAGCAATAAGCCCCATGAAGCCGTGGTTTACAGTGATTTTATAACAGCTCAGGAGCGTTGTTAGGCATGACGCGAAGCTGTTATAAATTCACTGTAAACCACGGCTTCACGGGGCTTATTGCTTTTATAAAACGGTTATTCCATATACGTAGTAAGGTTTCACAAAGTAAAACAGAGCAAATAAAGTGTAATGATATTAATAAAAACAGTATTCTTCCACCAAACAATGTAGCTCCTCAGAAACAGTTGTGGTTGCAACAAAGTGGTTGCCGAGCAACAGACAAACGTAAACAAAGGTGTATGTTACTTTGTAGAGTCATTTACAACAGCTTCGAACGCGGCTCAGCCAATCAGAATCAAGGACCGGAACTATCTGTTTTATAAAACTAAGAGACTCAAACTATATAAAAACAAAACTAAGAATAAAAATATCTAAAAAAATAATAATAATAAAAAAAAACTATTAAAAGCTATTTAAAAAACAAATAAAAATGGATTCAGTAGTCAGAATTTTGAGCACTGTATGAAACTAGTCAGAGCACTTCAAGGATGAAGTTTTGAGTAGGGATGTTAATGATTAAAGATCATCATCAAAGCAATCGAGAAAGCTTATCTATTGTTATTAATCATTATCAACACACACACACACACACAACAAATTAAGATCAATCTATTTAAGATGAATTGCTGAATCGCTTTGTACAATTTTAACTCGAAAGAAACTACTTCTATTAGATTAGAAGACAAGATCAGTGAACAGCAGATTTTAAATCAACAGTCCACAAGAGGGCGCCAGTTACATTGGGAGCTTCTCAAACCAGTCCAGTCCTTCTGGGACTTTTAGTCTGGACTGCTCTGCATTAAACACTAGATTGAGACGGTCCAGTCTCATCACTGTTTCTGCCTCCACAGTAAATACTACTAAAAATTACATTTTAAAACACTATACTAAAAATTGTTATGCCTAGTAATGCAATACCTGTCTGTTGACGCAATACAGTGAATGACAACCGTCTGTGATTAATTTAAAACTAGACTACATATTAAAAAAAAAAACTAAAGTGTGATACAGGTACAATTACGACAAATAATGAATACAAACAAATACAACAAATTACTATAGTATTCAAATTGTGTTTACTGTCGCATTCAAATGTAACGTTAGTGACACACAGGAGACTCGATGCGTTTCATGCACAATTTCTGTTCTGCCACCACATTCTTATCTCTTTATTTCGGTGGTGTGGGAAGTTCAGAGTTCAGAGAAGAAATGTGATTTATTTCAGGCCAGCTCTAATATAAGAGTAGTATGTAGGGTTGCGAATTGAAAATCGATTCTAATTCCAGAATCAGCTACTTAAGATCAGGAATCGGATACTTGTTGTAAAACTTAAATTTCAATTGCACCTATCAATTTCTGTGCACGCATCTTTTCTTTTTGTAGGTGGCGAAAAGGGGCTGTTAAAAATGTATTTGTCTTTGAATCATTCGAGAGATTCATTCAAAAACACTGATTCAGCCAGTAATGAAACGAGTACATCTTGAGTGAATCATTCCATTCATAAAGTCCATGAGATTTTGTTTCTTTGTCTAATATTTTTTTATTCTTCAGAATTGTGAGAGAACTACAACCTACATTTAAAAAAATTGTCTCAATTTATCCAGAATCACGCCGCTCTATTTTGCAGCTCTTAATCGAGTCTCACAAACACATTTATGCAGTTGGCTGATTTTTGTGTTTATGGTATTCAGCAGCAATTAAATGCTTTGCAAAAAGATGTTTGATATCTAAATGTTTGACTTCATTTTTTTGGAATCGAAACTGGGAATCGATAAGAAGAATCGGAATGGATAAAATTCAAACGATAGCCAACTGTAGTAATATCATATTGTTTCTCAGCAAACAGACAGGCGTGTGTTGACCGACAGAAACACACCTTCTGCTTTGTGCGCGCCTCCTCCTGCTCCTGCTTCTCCTTGGCCTGTCGTCTAGTGCGCTCTTCTTCGGCTCTCCTCCGGTCCTCCTCCTCCTTCTGCTTCGCAATGCTCTCAAAGCGAGCTTTAATACTTCCAGCGCCGCTGCCAGCTAAACAGAGCACAGCACGTCTTCATTCAAACCTCTACAGGCCGTGATTGATTCATTATAGCGTGTGTGTTTCTCCTGACCTGCTTCCACAGGACGGGTCTTCTGATACGCCGTGCTCGGCTTCTCCACCTCCTCAAACGTGCCGGCGCTCTGAAGACGAGAGCAATGACAGCATCACACCGCAAACTACTGCCATCCTCAAACACAGAGTGAACGCACATGCATTTCTCACAACCGTCTTTCTGGTTCTGACTGCATATAAACATAAAACACTAGAATGTGAACACGAATGTCTCATCTGCACTGATTACATCCGATCTGGATTGCGTACACAGATTCCAAAAATTAAGTAGTTGTAATTAGATTACATTACATTTTATAGAGTTAATTCACCCAAAAATGAAAATTAGCCCATAAATTACTCATTTAGGTGTTGCATGCACATATTCAAAACGTAATAATCACTTTAATGTAGCTTGCACTCACTGTTGTAAAGGGAAGCAGTTTACAGCGGAGAGATCAAAACAAAACAAAGGTCACTAATTAGAAGTACAAAATGTCGGAGGATTTCGATATAAGCCAAGAGGAGACTGGTTTTCCTTTGTTAAAGTAAGGAAACTTCGCTTCGGTTAACAAACGCTGGTTTTCACGAGACTCACCGGCGCGTGCGCAGCGCTGAACTCATACGTTATGCTCCCGGAGCTGCTTCTGTGTACAACTGTTGGCGCAAGCTACATTAAAGTGATTATTACGTTTTGAATATGGATATTTTTCTTACAAAAACGCATCGATTCACTACAGAAGGTCTTTGTTCAACCCCCAGAGACGTGTGAGGCACTTTTTTTTTTATGGATGGGCGCTTTTTATTTAACTTCTTTTGGACTGAAGCATGCAACACCCACTGAGTGCCATTAAACAGCTTGAAAGATCAAAGACAATTTTTAATATAACTCCGACTCGATTCGTCTGAAAGAAGAAAGCCATATACACCTAGGATGCCTGAGTAATTTATTGGCTAATTTTCATTTTTGGGTGAACTAACCCTTTAAAATACTAAACATCAGACCACAGTTACTTGTTTATGGATTACATGATTACATATTATTTACACAACAGCAATAATTTATTCATAATTTATTGATTCTGCCTAATTCCTCTTTTCCATCTTTTAAATGTTCCTTTCTTAAATAGCCTACCGCTTATACACACACTCAGAAAGTCTTCCAGTTAGTCAGGAGGCCACACAGCATTTAACCACTGGATTTACAAAAAAAGTGTTTCAACATCGCATGAACACATTCATTTTTATTTGAATTATCAGTCGGTTATTCTACCATGCATTACTTTGGAAGCCGTTTGTCTTTGAAACACATTAAAATGCACCAATTTAAAAAATAAACAACTTTTTTTGTCATCCTTTCACCTATATTTTTATTTGAAGTACCCCTGAGATTTTACAATAAATATTTTAATAATAAAGTATCATGTTTGCATGTTCACGGTTCTTTGACGTTGGTCATTTGTTTTAATTTAGCATTTAGGTCGTAAGTAGTCTAAAAGTAGTCTGATTATGTTACCTGAAATGTGTGATGTAATGGATTACATTACTAGCTACAGTTTTTGTCATGTAATTTTGAATCAGTAACGGATTACAATTTGTAAGTAATCTACCCAGCTCTGCTCATCTGTGTGCTAATTGTAATGATCTGAGCAATGTACCTTGTCCATTCGGTCTTTCTGCACACCATACTTCCCTCCAAATCCTTTGGCATAATCTAGAGTAATGGAGCAAAATAAACCGTTAAAATGGGGATTTCTTGCATATGCATGTTGAGTGCATGTTAAAGGAATATTTCATACAGAAAATGATCATTCAGTCATTATTTACTCAAATTCATGTCGTTCAAACCGATATGACTTTGCATAGAGTCAGGAGTCATACAAGCATACTTTGAGGTCTAAATGCATGCCTACTATGCAAAATGTGTACAGGTTTGCAGGCATGGTATTTTTCAAAGAAATACAGTAGTAAATATTCCCAGATATCATGTAGTACTTGATCTGAACTAGGTTGTGGAGCAGCCTTATAGTATTTTGTTACTGTACACATGAATTTGATTCAGAGTTTTGGAGGCATAGCTTCAGGGGGTTTAGAGGGTTTAACGAGAACGCATTGCATTGATGCTTGAAAAATTAAGAAATTCACAAACTACATTATTTTTGTATAAGAATTCTATTACCTATAACATCGCTATTGTCAAAACATTTATTAACCCTCTGGTGTTGTTGTTCACGCGGCGGTCAAAATATTATATATATATATATATATATATACTGCTAAATACTCTTGGCAGATTATTGATGAAGTGAAAAAAGTTTAGAAAGTGAAACTAAAAAACGGTTGTGAAATATTTAATTAACAAAACATGTTTTACTCTAAAACTGCAATAAAAACAAACCCGGAAATCTGAACAAGTTGTGTTCCAAATTTGAAGTTGATATCTCAAAAAAATAGCTTTCAGTCAGATTTTGTTTGGGATTAAATTCACTGCCCATTCATTTCCAATGTGGTAATTTTTGGCCACAAACAATATAAGTGTGACTATTTTTCAGGACCATTTCACCTTTTTGAATCATGTCCATGATTGTGTGTGT